TAAAAGAGTTCTCATATCTGGGATCAAACATTGATCGGAATGGGGATTCTAGCCAGGAAATCAGGAAAAGATTAAGAATGGGGAGGGCAGCTATGAAAGAACTAGAAAAGATCCTAAAATGCAAAGCCAGCATAAAAGTCAAGAATCATACAAGCCACTGTATTCCCTATTAACATGTATGGATGTGAGAGCTGGACAGTCAAGAAAGAAGATAGGAGGAAAATTCATTTGAGATGTGGTACTGGAGAAGATTGCTGAGGATCCCATGGACAGCCAAAAGGACAAAGAAATGGGTCCTAGAACAGATCAAGCCAGAGATATCCCTAGAAGCCAAGATGACAAGACTTAAGACTGTCGTACTTTGGACACATCATGAGAAGGCATGAATCGTTGGAAAAGACAGTAATGTTAGGTAAGGTGGAGGGAAGTAGAAAGAGAGGAAGACCACATGCTAGATGGATGGACTTTATTAAAAAGACCACGAATATGAGTTTGCAGGAGCTGGGCAGAGCAGTAGAGGACAGGGGGGCCTGGAGATGGAAGGTACTAAAATAACTGACAGTACTTGCCCATAGGGAAAACCATACTTGCCCATGGAGAATCACTGGAGAATGCTTGCCCATAGAGAATTATAGGGAAATTCTAGTATTCCCCTATGATTTCCTATGGGCAAGCATTCCATCATGATTCCATGTGGGCAAGTATTCCCCTATGGTTCTCTATGGGCAATCATTCCCCTATGATTCCCTATGGACATGTATTCCCCAATGATACTCTATGGGCAAGCACTCCCTTATGATTCTCTATGGGCAAGCATTCCCTTATGATTCCCTATGGACACATATTCCCCAATAATATTCTATGGGCAAGCATTCCCTTATGATTCCCTATGGACAAGCATTCTCTTATGATTCCCTATGGACACATATTCCCCAATAATATTCTATGGGCAAGCATTCCCTTATGATTCCCTATGGACACATATTCCCCAATAATACTCTATGGGCAAGCATTCCCTTATGATTCCCTATGGACACATATTCCCCAATAATACTCTATGGGCAAGCATTCCCTTATGATTCTCTATGGGCAAGCATTCCCTTATGATTCCCTATGGACACATATTCCCCAATAATGCTCTATGGGCAAGCATTCCCTTATGATTCCCTATGGACACATATTCCCCAATGATATTCTATGGACACATATTCCCCAATGATACCCTATGGGCAAGCATTCTCCTATGATTCCCTATGGGCAAATATTCGCTTATGATTCTCTATAGGCAAGTCTTCCCCAACGATTCCCTATAGGCAAGTACTGTCATTTGTTTTAGTTACGTCCCTTTGGAGGAGAGTCGAGACAACAACCACAACGTGGAGTTGCTCCAAAGCATTGCAGGGAAGGGAAAACAAGGCAAGGAGGGCAACCCCTGGCATGGAAAGGCAAGCTCTCCTCAACCACAGGGTCAGCCGACCTCCAAGCTCACGAGCCAGCCTAAAAATAGGAGAGCCACGATGAGCAAGGGAAGGGAGCAGCTGCCTTCGCCTTCGCCTTCGCCTTCGGGGTCTCCGCAGATGGAGCAAGAGACCGAGAGGGGCTCCTCCTGGGCCGCCCAGCTGCACCGCTTTCGCTTCGGCTCCAAAGGGAAGAGCCCTCCCTGCGCAGCTGCTCCTGCTAGTCAGCCTTGGGAAGCAAGACTGGGCTGCTTCCTCTCCTCTCCTCTCCTCTCCTTCCCGCCCCA